AGGTGGAACTAAAAATCAAGCAGAAAGATCATTGGCAGAGATGGATGGGTCAAACAATACAGGTATAAATAAATAATTTTAATGAATAATACATTTAAATGATTTACTGATTGAATAAAAGCAAAGAGAATCTTTAAATGACCATGAATTAAAAGTCCAAGACTTTTGATATTTCTGGTCACCACATTAGGAGACGTCTGGCTCGTGAATGTAATGAAGCAAGTGACCCAGCTGAGGTAGAGAAACAACGGGTCAAATTTATGAACTCCACCAATCCAACTGCTGTGCTGCGGAATTACATTGCCCAGAATGCAATTGAAGCAGCTGAAAGGGGTGATTTTTCAGAGGTCAGAGGTCTTGATTGAAATGCAGTGACAAGGCACCGAACACCCAACTGCTCCCTGGGGCGCCGCAGCAAAAAATGGCTGCCCACTGCTCTGTGTGTGTGTTCACTAATGTGTGTGTGTTCACTGCTGTGTGTGTGTGTTCACTGCTGTGTGTGTGGACTTTGGATGGGATAAATGAAGAGCACTAATTCCGAGTATGTGTCACCATACTTGGCCACATGTCACGTCATGTCACTTCAATAATATCCGATTAGCTTAAGTCACTGCTGACTTTTGCATGTATTACAAGAACAAGTACATTACAAAATTACAAGTACATTTTAGGATCTCAGTGGTCATAAGTTAAATTAACATTTGGTTATTAAATCAGACCTTAATTACCATAGACGTGGTACAAAATGGAAATGAAATAATATATATATAGATATATATATTTAATGTATTTATATATATGTACATGTACATGTATATGTGTGTGGCTGTACATACACATATGTAGTTGTTTTTTGGTGTTTGGCTTAGTGTTATGTTAGAATCATTATTATACTCATATCTTTTGTTCTTTTAATATTTTTGAATTGTTTTTAGCTTTATTTTTTTGTTTTCATTTAAATGTTTTAGTTTTGAAATGTTGTTGTATGCATTTGTCATTTTTATTTAAATTTCTTCTATTTTCTTAAAAGCTTTTAGCTTTTAGTTTTAATTACTTTTTCTTATTTGTGTATGTTTGAATTGTTTTTAGCTTTCTTTTTTTTGTTTTCATTTAAATGTTTTAGTTTTGAAATGTTGTTGTATGCATTTGTCATTTTTATTTAATTT